CTGTTGCCATTTATGAATATTCTTTCATTTCTAGGCATGATGTTGATGTTATGGAAGGCAGTTTTCACATGATTTTACTAAAATCTTTGGCTGCCTCCATTAGAGATAAAATACCAAGCTGAAGCCTTCTTGTTCTGATCCACAAGATAGGATCAGAGTTGGTTAAATTTTTATGTTACTGGTAAACCAAGGGGGTGTTGGTGGGGGTAGAAAGAGAAAGAGAGGGATGGTTGTAGTGGAGAAAAAGGGAAAGGGCAAATTATCAAAGTCAGTCATGTTGCTGAAATATGCCAAGAAAAAAGTATTTAACCATTATCTACTAGCAGAAATTAAATATCTTCTATAATAAATTAGGTTCCTAATAATTCTGTCTTAAATTTGCTGTACTACCTAAATAGTTTACAAATGTTAAGAAAACATGAATAATAAACCCGAGAGTTAGATTTGAATGAAATGATTAACTGAAAGAAGCTACAAGATAAAGAAAAAAAATGTATCCAAACCACTTCTGTTGAGGAAAAGGAAGAATGTCTCCTCAGCAGAATTCAAACATTTAGCAACAACCTTGGTTGCAAACATTTATCCAAACAGTCAACAGGACAAAGAAAATGCTCCTGTGAGAACAGTAACCAGATCTGAGGGCTCTGGTCTTTGAAGTTTAAAATATTTCCCCAGAACTGCCACATTCTTCTCTCTCTCCTATCCCACTGGAAGATCACAAAAGTAAATTCTCATTTGTTTCCTCTTTCTGTTATCCTGCCAAAAATACACACTCACTGATAAAGCCCACCAGTGATTCATTTCATATCATCCCAAGGTTTCCAGTATAAATGTCATATTAAATGAGTCTCTTCTGTTTTATTAATGCCTAACAGACATCTAATAGCAATGATGGTGCCAATGATTCTTACTGGATCATACCATTAAAACCCAGATGTTTCTGTATGAACAGAAGCAAAGGCACCAGCCCCTGGGTTCTTTCTCTCCATTCTCATTTCCTTAGCAGTGGCTGAGCTGGGATTCATTTGGAAGCAGAAATAGCAGGCTGTAAACATTCTTTCCATATTTTCATTTACTCTATAGGTCAATTCATTTTCTGTATTCCTCCACTCATTATTGATTAAGAGAAGAAAAAGAAAGAAAGAAAAAGAAAAGAACAAGAAAGAGAAGACAAAAATGGGGGGAAAGTCTGGTTAATTAAAATTTAGGTGAAGACTATATTTAGGGACACCTGGGTGGCTCAGTCTGCTAGGCATCTGCCTTCAGCTCAGGTCATGATCCCAGGATCCTGGGGTCCAGTCCCACGGGCTCCTCGCTCAGCAGGAAGCCTGCTTCTCTCTCTGCTGCTTCCCCTGCTTGTGCGCTCTCTCTCTGACAAATAAATAAATAAGAATGTTTTTAAAAAAAGATTATTTTTAAATTTCTTAACATGGAGCAAACAAATGTAAATACATCCAAACAATACACATTTTAATTTCCTGGTATTTCATATATAACTGTCCCATGTGTTCCTTTCCTGAAGCCCTAGTCTTCCCCAGAGACTTCATCCAAAGCATTAATTCATTTACCAATGAGTGCAGATGACCATGGCTGCTACTGGTCCTAGCATATGTCAGTAAACTGTTGTGCAATGAAGACACGGCTCAATTTGTGTTTTCTCTGTTTGGCTTGTCCCCAAGGGAAGCTCTAAAACCCATATCTGTTTGAAACTCTGTAGGAAGGAGCTGGGACCTGGGCTTGCCTTCTGGAAGCACTTGAGCTTCTGGGAGCCTCTAACTGTTACGATGATGGCCTCCTCCAGACCTATCCATTTTGGGTCCTGATTAGAATTCCCAGTTCCTACCTAGCCCAGCCATCTGAGCCATGTGGGTAAAATGATTCTGGATAAGTATTGCTCCTATTGCCTCTGCAGATGTTAACCCCCAAACACACCCAAGTCCCAGAGGTAAGGAAGATGACTAAATTGGCTAAAGCAACATGCAGGGAGTGAGTAAGGTAAACCATAATTCTGCGCGATCCAGGCATTGTCCTAGAAATGAATGCCTGTTATATTACATTGGCCTGTGGTCCCACAAGGAGATTTTCATCATCACAGAGCAATCTTGTCATTGTTTTTGCAACTCAGTAAAGTGACAATGCTCAGGAGTGGGGAGGGAATAGAGACAGAAATAGCATCAACCACCTCCCACATCTGTGTTATACCTATAATTCCCCTAGACATATAGACTAGGATCTCCAGAGATGTTCTCTAGCCAGACTTCCATACTCTATAGCGCCAAAGCAAAACCCAGGAAGCTGAAGCACAGAAATATGGCAATTGTCATAGAGTATCAGTCACCAAGAACTTTTGATTTCACCTCTTTAAATAGAACTCCAATTTGCCCCTTCCTCCTTCATCCCTTTCCTGCCACTGACCTCATTCAGGAGCTCTTCACTACTCTATTATCCACTTTTAATCACCCTTTAAAATACCAGACAGTCAGTAAAACAGGGATGAAAAACTGTAAGTACTCCTACCTCTTACTTTAGGTATTTATAGTTGGCATCTTTTCATCCTGTGTTATCAAGGAGTAGAGGGGAGTATAGGCCAGGTTTTGCCTGTTCCAACAAGGCTTCTATCACGCTGAGAGTTCACAGGTGAATCCTCTGGTCTGATGCAGTTCCATGTAGTCAGCAGAATGCCAGCCTGAGATTCACAAGATCTGGCTCTGTCTCCATTTCTGTGGCCTTAAAGTCATCATTCAGTGCCCTACGAAAGGAGTTGTCCAAAAAACAAGATGGGTTGTCTCAGGGAGACTATTACTACAAGTCTTAGTATGTGACTGACCGCTTGCCATGTTAGCACCTCATGTTTGACATGTCCAATACTGAGCTCATTAACTTATCTTCTACTTCCATATCCAACCAGACCAGTTCCCCTTATGTTCCCTTGCTGTGTGAAAGGCAATGCTCCTGCCTAGAAACCTGAGCATCTTCCTTGACTCTTCCTTATTCCCCACATCTAATCAGTCACTACATTCATAAATATCCTTCATGTCAGTCTCCCCTGTCTAAGCCCACTGCCCCTACAGTTCAGGTTCACTGTCACTGCCTTTACAAGTCACTGAACCAGTCTCCAGATGAGCTCTTCCTGGCTTCCAGTTTTGCTCTCTCTCCAATCTATTCCCCACCCTCCTGCCTGGTTGAGTTTTCTGAAATAAAAATTTGATAATGTCACTCTTTCTTAGAACCCTTTAGCTGTTTCTCAGTGTTAGAAAAATAAAATCCTGACTCCTTAGCCTGTCTTAGATCTTGCCCCTATCAACTTTTCCAGACTAGTTTTCAGCTCCTCCTATCAAACCAGCAGTAGTTAACCCCATTGAGTTCCCTCAACAGGACTGACTCTGGTGCCTGTGAGCTAGCCTACTTTGCCTGTAGCTTCAGATCACTTTGTGTTTTTATTCGAGAGGAAGATCACTTTCCTCACTTTGTCTTTTTATTCAAGACTCAGCTGGAGTTTCATACTCACCATAAAGGGTTCCTTGAACTCCTTCCACTGTGGTACTAGTCTATACCTCCAAAATGGCACTGACAGCAATGATCTTGTTCACCTCTCCCACAGAATGTAGGCTCCTCCTCTTGAACTTCTTATGTCCATTGCCTACATTAGTCCTATAGCATGGTAGGGTCTAACAGACATCCAATAAATGCTTATTGAATAAATTTGTTACAAGAGTTTAATGCATGAGGGGTTTATAGTGGAGTTGAACAAGATGACCTTCAGAGTCCTTTCCAACTCTTAGCTTTTCATTTGAAGATACCAGTCCCTTCCATGGTTTTGAATAGCACATCCATTTATTACTCTTACGCATAACTTCAAGGCACTCCTCAACCTGAGCTTTAGACCAAAATGTCCACCTGCCTGTTATAGAACTTCCAATACTGGATGCTGAGTGAGCATCTCAAATTCAGTATGTCCAAAATTAATTCACTTGCCTATACAACCGGATTCACCTTTCCAGTTTTCTGTATTTGTTAACGACACCATCCTCTTCTTGGGGGCCCATATGAAAAACATCCAGGATGGCACCTTTTTCCTAAACCAATCACTGCCTACTCCTGTGGATTCCCCTTTCCCAAATACCAGTTGTTTTTGTCACTGCATTTACTTACAGTCTCCATCGAATTGCTGAATTGCTCGTGACTCTAATTAGCATTTGTTGCACTCTTGACTTTCGTGATGTATTTCCATCTCTGTACCAACACTAGATCCTGGAAAGATTTCTGTATTATGGCTGTAAATCCCCCAAGTCTCAGCATAAGGTTTGCAAACAGATAGCAGGTGGTCAACAAATCGTGGTAGAATGGCTGAATGAATGTTAGGATGTTAGGTTTAAACTGCTTTGGGGGCATGGATCTTGTTATATGCTTTTTTTAATTTTTTTTGGTCCCGCCCCCAATATAGTAGATATAGTAAAAGGCATAGGAAACAAGAAATACGTATTTTTAAAAATTGAACACTGTATTTTTTTATTTTAACTCGGAGTTGCTGCAACAACTGGCTGTAGTTTTAATAAAAAAAAAAAACAAAAAAAACAAAAAACGCTCTATTTTTTTGTAAAAGGTTTCTTAGCCTCAGCTCCCAGCTAAAACCATCCAGGATCCTGGTTTCCCACCCTTTCCAGTGGCCTGATGTGAGGCAGGGGAGGAGCAATGAACAAGCTGGGCCTGAAGAGCAAGGAGAGCGGGATGGGGGAAGTCCCGGAAGTCACTGACCAGAGCAAGCGGCTGCCGAAGCGACATCAGCTTCGGCTGCGGTCCCAACAATAACAGGCGCGCGGGCGGGGCGGGGCTGCCGGGGGCCCGAGCTTGGGGGCGGAACCCGGATTGGGGGAGGCGGGTGGGACGCTTTGCTAAAGCTGCAGGGGATTGGAGGAGAGAGATGAGGGGCGGTTGAGCTCAAGGAGTGGGCAGGGGAGCTAACGGGCCGACCGAGGAGAGAGCGTGTTGATTGGGAGGCGCGGAGGGAGACGGACCGGAGCCAACTGGGGATTGGCCGTGGCGGGCCGAGGAGGCGTGGTCAATGCGCGCCAGAGGGAGAGCGAGGGAGCGGGCGGCTGGTCTGCCTGCCAGCTAGCCGGAGTCCCGGGCGTGTGCTGCGAGCCGGGGTTGGGTTGAGGAACGCGGTGCGGGAGGCGCGTCCCCCTAGCTCCTCCGCAGCCGCCCTTCGCGGCTCGAGTACCCCACTTCCTTCCCTCTCTTCTCCTGCATTCTGGTCTGGGGGTCTCGGGGCAGGGAGCTGAGGGAAGGAACTAAAGAGGAGGACGCGAAAGCGGAGCGAGGGGCAGAGAGGGTCCCGGCGCGGGGCATAGCGCGCGCTGCGTCTCGCTCTCCCGCCGGAACCGCCGCCTCCTCGCCCGGGGCGCCCGCACTATGCAGGCGGACTGCCGGCCACCGCGATGGGGAGCCGGGCGGTGGTGAGAGCCGGGCGCAGCCCTCACCGTCTCCGAGTCCGGGCCGCGGCCGCCGCCCCCGCCCGGGCCGCGCTACCCCTCTCCCGCCCTCTCCCTCCCCGCTCCAACTCCTCCTCCTCCTTCCCCATGCCTCTGTTCCTCCTGCTCCTACTTATCCTGGTCCTGCTGCTCGAGGACGCCGGAGCCCAGCAAGGTGAGTGAGTGGTCCCCGGGGAGTGCGCGGCGCGCGGAGCCCCAGGGATGGTGGGGGCGCAGGGGGAACCTCTGGGATGTCGGGTCTCCGGGACGTGAGCCGAATCTGCAGATGCGCGGGGGAGGTGCGGTGCGCTTCGGTGCCTGGCCGGACCTGGCCCAGCACTCGCTGCGTTGAGTGGCAAAGGTGGCCCCGCCTGTTGTCCCCCGAGTTGGCGCGGCTTTACTTTTTGACAAGGCCTTTGGTTTTTCTGAAAAGAGAGAAGCGAGACCCTGCTGTGAAGGCCTCCGTTTTGGTATTGGATTCTTTTGGGGAAAATCTTTGGGAGGAAAAAGAGAAGTTTTGGAGGTGCGACCCCTAAAGTTAGGCTACACTGATGGACAGAGTAGAGAGGCAAGATAATTACATAGCATCTTAAACCAATTAAAGGCAAGTGGCGATAATTACCTTTGTGAAAAGTGCTCAAGTTCAAAAACGAATGACATTGATTCTGGTTAGCTTTGAGTCTTGGATTCTGGACATGCCCTTTATGATACCTTACGGTTATTCCTGTTGGTAGTCTGGATTGCCTGGGTCAGACAGTCTGACCTAAGGCAGCGTGCTGTGTTCCCAGATGGAGCATTCCGAGTTGAAAGGGTAAGCCCTTCCAGAAAGTGACAAAACTTTTTTTCCATCCACAGTCCTTGAAATACCTATTTCAGAATTGAGCAAAACTGTTTATTGAATAATCATCATAATGGAAAGAGAATGCAAGGCTGATTCCTCCTCCGCCCTTTAGTACTATTTTCAGGCAGCGAACCGCAATTTTTGAATCAGTTTGGCATCAGTTATTGAACACATTTTTCCATTGCATTTCCTTCTTTATTGCAGTGAGAAGGATATGGGTTGGATTGTTTCTTATTGCTGGGAAGATTTTTATTTTAAGTTGATCTCCATGTTTAAGTCCAGCTGAAATGTTGCTCTCATATGGTTTTCAGTAAAGTGTGGAATCATGGCCATAAGCCTGTCATTATGAAGACGCTGAAACTTTGACAGGCATGTGGAAGTACAATCTAACAATAAAAAATATATATATTTGGCAGACTAATCTCTTTTAGCTCTAGGCACATTTCTACATAGTGTAACTTAAAATTTAGATGCTTGGCATTCAGGTTTTTAGTTAGATCATCATCTTAAATAAATTCTTAAACATCACTTAAGTGTGAAATCCTTCCCCCCATTGAAGTTTTAGACTGTATGCTTGTATTTTCCTTCTAGTAGAGAAACAAAAAACAACAAGAAGGCTTACATACAGCCAGCACTAATTGGGACTGACTTTGTGGCAGGCACATTTCTAAGTGATGTATGTGTATTAAGTCAGTTAATCCTCACCACACCCATCTGAGATAGTGTTATTCCATTTCAAACATAGAGAACTGAGACACAAAACATATAAGATATCTTGATATAGAAAGGAATGTAACTTCATAAGCAGAATACTGTTTTGCTTATTTCTAGACTGAGAGTTTTTATATGTTTGTAAAAAAATCTTTGAACAGTATGGAATCAGTTATATGTCTCCCCACATGAGGCAGTTGCCTTAATTTTCAGAATTTCTCGAACCTGGCCTAATTAACATGCAATATTATCTTATTTTCTTTCAAGGTGTAATTTCAGTTTTTAGCACAGCATTAACAAATATATGGTCTCTTTCACTGTTATGTCTTATATAAACAGTGTAGATTAAAACAAATAGAAATGATGGTGGTAATTTAAAAGACCTCTGATTTCTCGTTCATTTAAGTTGATTGGGTAAGTTTTGTTAAGTCATTTAATTTCTTTGTACCTCAGTTTTCTACACCAGTGATATGAGAATACATACCTATTTCGTAGCCTAACAAAAATGAAATGATAATATGTAGGAGTTTTGTAAATGGAAAAGCGTAATATAGCTATAAGTGATTATCATTATTAATTTTTAGTTTATGAGGTTGATAAATAAGAACCAGTTAGGTATATATCACTGGAAACGCAGGAATTGTGTGCGATTTCAATTCCCTAATTTTTAAAAATTACATTTTTTACCCAAAGGACCTTGATGCAGTCTGTAGTGGAATTGCTTTTCAACCAGTCTTAACTAATCTAACAGACATATGCTTCGGGTTCCATTGGTATTCCCTCACATAAGCTGGAAAGAAGTCTCATTTCAAAATGAGAACCAGTGTTTTAAAACACCTGTAGAATTTTTAATAATGGGAGTGTCTACATATTGTAGTGTTAAGTGACAAACTGGAGTTTTTACTTTATAAGAAATCTTAGGAAGAAGACTGAAAAGAAATAATAAAATAGTCATTGTCTTTTGGTGGTAGAGTTATGGGTAATTCTGTATGCTCTTCCAAATTTTCTGCAGTTAACATATAGTCAAAATATAAGCTGTGAAAAAATTTTTTGTGAGGTTTAGGTTTTTCTTTCTTTAGCCAGTCTAGGTAGACATGCATTTAATGTATATGCTAAAGGAGAACTGTGCTTCAGGAATTTAAAAAAAAGCTTTTAGACATCATCGTGAAGTAGCAGAAGATGTTACTCTCATTCCAGTTACAGTTGACCCTTGAACAACACAGATTTGAACTGCGCTGATCCATTTGTATGTGCCGATTTTTTTCCCAATAAATATAATAGAAAATTTTTCGGAGATTTACAACAATTTGAAAAAACTCGCAGAAGAACTGCATAGCCTAGAACTATTTTTATGATATTGAAAAAGTTAGGTATTATTATAAGAATATAGTATATAATACCAGTAACATACAGAATACGTGTTAACTGACTGTTACCTGTAACAGTTACCTGGTCAGTTTTCTGGTCAGCAGTAAGCTACCAGGAAAGTTTTGGGGGAGTCAAATGTTATAGATGGATTATTGACTATGCACGGGGAGTCAGCTCCCTTAACCCCTGCATTGTTCAAGGGTCAGCTATAATGCTATATACATAGCTATTCCAGATTTTCTGCTGACAGAGTGATTTTTCTTTTCATTTGGCTCAGAATAAAATTTATCATTGGTCTGAAAATTTGTCAGCCTTTCATAACAGAGATGTATTTTAACCAATATTATTTCATTTACTTATAAGTAGATTGTATTTCCTCACATTTAATTGTACTATGATGGTGTTTTAGATACAGCTTACATTTTTATACTTTTAAGTTCTAAGTTTGATGTTGAGTTCATCTTCAAAATCTTTTTATTGTTGAAAGCATTTTTTTTCTATAACACATCTGAAAAACTTAAGTTGGTCAAATTTATCATGCTGATTGCATGTTTGCTACTGTAATAAATGTATTTAATAAGAAGTTGAGAGTCTACTATGAATGATTCTGTGTCCCCGATTTACATGTTGACTAGAAATTTGTGTCCCTTCATCTCAGGAGCTCAGCTTCCTAGTTCATGTCCTGGAGGGCTTGGCTGCCTTCTGGGTTACATTATTATGTGAATGTGGTAAAATATCAGGGAATTAATTTTTACAATTTATTTTTTAAGATTTTATTTATTTGTTTGACAGAGTGAGAGAGAGAGCACAAGCAGTGGGGGCGGAAGAGGGAGAAACAAGCTCCCTGCTGAGCAGGGAGCCTGATGTGGGGTTCGATCCCAGGATCCTGGGATGATGACCTGAGCCAAAGGCAGTCACTTAACCAACTGAGCCACCCAGGCACCCCAATTTTTACAATTTATTAAGACTGACTTGTTTATGCCTATTAATATGAAATACTTGTGAAGGTATTGATTTTTATTTGCTAATAAATCTATGAAACCAGTCAAGTTCATTCTTTTTTTTTTTCTTTTTAAAGATTTTATTTATTTGAAAGAGAGAGTGAGAGAGAGAGAGAGCACAAGAGGCGGGAGCGGGAGAGGGAGAAGCAGACTCCCTGCCGAGCAGGGAGCCCGATGCGGGACTCGATCCAGGGACTCCAGGATCATGACCTGAGCCGAAAGCAGTCGCTTAACCAACTGAGCCACCCAGGCGCCCTCAAGTTAATTCTTAATCATTCAATTTCACAATGGTGTCAGAACTGATGTGTGGGGAAAACTTGTTTTCTGTCAAATAATGCCTTTATTTGGTTGTGATGTAGGTAAATAGTTTTTCAGTAATATTTATGAATTGTCAGAAATGAACACATCTCCCTTATGAACATTTGTAATTATTTTTAATATCAACATTAGGTTAATTTAGAATTTTCAGTTGTTTTTTCTTGGTCCGATAAAACATTAGGCTCTTACATGTAGTTTTGTTCAGAGGCAAAAATCAAAGCATCCTTTTTCTGCTATATTTCTGATTAATTTTTCCCAGTGAAAATTAGAAATACAACATAAATTCCACATGTGCTAATGATTAGGTTTAAAATCCACATTTTTAAAACTTGTAAATGAAAAGTTAATTGTAAAATTATAGGTCATTGATTTTAGGTATATTTCCGCGAAGCAAAGAGGAAATATTATTTCCCACTGGAGATGGTTAATAATTCTGTCTGAACATCTCAGCTTCATTCTAGAAGACCAACATAAAAACAAAACAAAACAAAAAAAACCTTAAGATCGTGAAATTGGTATAAGTGAAAGTACCAGTGCTGCCATGAAAATGACAAATGAATTAATTTCCAAAAAGAAATTATGAGATTATAGTATGATGAGGAAAGGCTACATGTATATAGAGACAGTTTTAAGTTTAGGATTATACTTTACAAAATGAACCTAGGATGTGAAAGCTCAGATGGTAATACTGTGCGTTAATTGAATGCATGCAGATAGTTTCCATTTGAACTTCTTGATTAGTTGGAAGGATGTAGAATGATGACATAAAATTATTGGGATTAGGAAAAGCTTCATAGAGATAGTGAACTGTGATTGTTGAAATAAGAAGTGAGACAACTTGGCAGTTTTTCTTGGGTGGCTCATGGATTCAGTTTACAACCTTACCACGGCCTTGCCACTTTATTTTTTAAATATTGTACAGATAATTATAGTTGT